GCGGAATGTGAAAAAGCAACGACCAGCCTATTCTGCAGGCGCGCTTCTCGAGGGTTCAAGTCCTGGTGACTCAGCTGGCTTCACAAGGGTTGAGAGCTCCACAAGCTGACTAGTCCTCTCGTGCATATTCTTGGGGTGGAAGTGCAGCACCAGCATTCGCTCGAAGTGGAACGGGTCCAGGGTTTATTGGTGATGCCCGACCAGGTGCTGCAGAGGGATCCGGCCTTCTCTGAGCTTCTCGTTGACGCTCCTTCTCTGCTATCTGCTCCTCAAGTGCTCGCTTCACCTCTTCCTGCTTCCTGCGGCGTGCATCTTGTTCCCCAGCCCCCAAATTGCCCAAACCATAGGAAGGCTGAGGGCTGGCTGCATTCAAACGAGGGGACTGGCGAACCGGCGATGATGGAGATTGATGAGCACCCACCGGTGATGTTGGTTGCAAAGGGCCACGGACATGGTGCTCCACATATTGTTCGTTGACATCGTGTCCATGCCTTTGGTGTGGCTGGGCCAAAGGTGCTGCTGCACCACGTGCTGGAACATGGGCAGCCGGCCCTGGAGGAGGTGCCATTGGAGGCTTGATTGTTTGTTGCAGGCGGCCTGGCGATTGGTGTGGGCTTTGCTGTTTCTCTGGTGGTGACCTGACATCAAAAGTATGATCCCCAAGCTGAGTTGCCCGATGGAAAGAACATGACAAACAATCAGGCCCCGTGTAGTGGGGATGTACTCCGATGCCAGGTGCTTTGTACCATTCATCTCTCTAAAAAAGAACACACTAGTAACTATAGTAACTGGAAGCTTCCTTGGGAATTGTTTCTTTTTCTGGGAGTCGTTGAACCTGTAGTAACAAGATTTCTGCATCCAAATTGCCTTTGAGGCAGGCCGAAGAGGCCACCACCAGGATTGCCTCGAGCTCATGACCCTGTGTGGAGTGGCTATCTGGTTACTTGCACTTGTTGACATGTCCAAGTACAGAACTGTGATCTACTCCTTGACTTATCTTAGCTAATTGCTCAGCTTAGCTTTGCCAATTCATCATGTTTAGGCCTGAACCAGCTGGACCAAAAAGTCCTCGGCTCTTTGGGTTGCCTGGGCCGTCGACCAAGAACGGATTGCTGGGCTCCGGTACACGGAACACATTCGGAGTGCACAACAAGCCGTCAGTGACCTACAGGTGTCTTGCACAATCGGTAATCAAACAGTTCATGAACATGCTGCTAGTGCTATAGGGAATCTGAAGAAAGGAGGTGGATATCATTCCTGAGGCCGCAGCCAGCATCAAAGGCCGCAGGCCGTGGAATTTTTGGCCCTTCCTGCAAAGCGGCCAACACCCGAAGAATGTAGATGACTTAATTGTGGCAACTGGCTCATTCCCCCATGCTCACCGCAGAATCATGTTGCGATTCCCTCCATGAGCGATGAACGATGTATTTTTAAATATATATACATATATAATGTGTATATATATATATATGTGTGCGTGCGTATGTGTGTGTATACTTTGTGTATACGGCTAGACTGGATCTTTGACTATGGCAGGTCTAGATTAACCTACAGTAGGTCGACAAATAAACAGTCAAACACGTTCGAGCAAAATGACAGGGCTGAGAAAAACCGGTCCGTCGAAGGGGCTTTCTCTTTGGCTTGCGCTGCTTGCGCTGCTTGTGCCGCTGCCTCAGCCTTCAAAGCAATCAATGCATGTGGAACCAAGCAAGGCAGAGTTGAACGCAAACGAATATATATATATATATGCATAACCCATCAACCACAGCATGCCTGAAGTAGTTGTTTCAGCTCAGGATTCTTCGCTTGCTCTTTTTCGAGCTCAACCTGACACACCCAAAAACTAAATCAACAGCAAATTACAGTAATTAGGCGACCGACAGCAGAAGTCAGTAAGATCCACACCCGCAGCTGAATCGCTTGCCTCATCCTAAGATGCTCTATTAGCAGAACGCATTACACTCCCCAGAACTTACGATGAAGTAAATCTCGGCGAGGACGCTGTTTACGAGGAAGTTGGTGACCATGTAAATTCCCCCGGGAATAGACGACAGGCAGGTAAGCCCAATCAGCAAACGAGGAAGGCCAAAGAATGCAATGCTCATTACCGAGGAAGCTGACCGCCCCGTGCATCCCCGAAGATCCTGGAAAATGACCAGGGAGATACACTTCCAGGTAAGCCAGGGTTGCCTGCATGTTCATAGGAATATTATAGGAAAACTATTTCCTCGTAAGTTCTGGAGAGAGTAAACATTGCGCAGGAGAAGTGATGCATACCAAGGACAGCTGCATTCTTGTTCTTTGCCCAAACGTCAATAAGTAGGCGTCTAAGTTTATGACAAATCCCCACGTTCATCAGAACCTTCTGGCATCAAATCAGCTGCAGCTTCCATGTGGGCCACCTCATCTTGCAGGTCAAGGATTGAAAACTTCTGCTACAGTAGCAAGGCAGGCAGAAAGCCGGCTGCGGCTAAGGAGTTTCAAGCAAGTCAATTTCGCCCACGATCATGCCGTTCCAACAGGTAAAGTTCAAAGTTCTTCATTGACACCCGCCCCAGCCAGCCCCTCCAACTTTCGTTGGACAATCAAACATCCCTGGCAGAGGTGCCTCTTTTTCCTTCTCACGAAATTTTTCCACTGCCCTGGCAGAGTCAACGCGCAGAGTCAACCGTTATCACCAGCCTCATCCATGATAAATGTTGTGTCCTTTTGATGTACCTGTAGATAAATATATTTTATTACGCTCAATTGTTTGAGTTACATTGTCAGATTATGGTTTATATATAGCTTCTTTGAGAAGCCGGGAAGACTGAGATTGAAGAAACTACTGATCTGAATGTCCAATCACGCCCCCATATGGTTGCCGCACCGGTTCTGAAGATGCAGTTCTCGCTGCACGTTCCATTCCTGTCGAAGCAATCAGTTCCCAGCTGCCGTCTTTGTTCCCAGTCTAACGCAAAGCGTGCAAATTGAACAATGAATCTCTTCGTGCGTTTGCAGATTGCACACCTGCTGAAGAGCCTCCTCGGTCACGGCAGCTGCCGCCGCAGCCTCCTCAGGGTTCTGCTTTGTTGTGCCAAACTCTACTACTTGAACTGAAGCTCACAATTCAAGTTTGGTGCCGCAAAATCCGCACTCTGAAGTGAGGTAAACGCTCGCTGTCTCTCCGCTCTGGACCGTGGCTGCATCCTGCCAAAGTCGGCAACTAAAAAAAATAAAACAGGTCCAGCTTCCAATTGCAAGGTCTTTGGATGACGCAGCTACCGCACCTGAAGTCACAAGCAGCACATTGACCAACAAAAGCCGCGGGCCGTTGAATCTTGTGCTGCCAGCAATGAAAGAGGTGCACAAACACGAAGTTGGAGATTCCCCACAAGGCTGCATGCCCCATAGGCTTGCATGTTATCCCCATAGGGTTACCTATTATCTACAGGCCAGGCATTGACTATATAGATGCAGCAGCCCCCAAGAACGGAGGAGCATGCCCGAAAAAAGATCAAGCCTTGTTAAGTCACAGTATGACACAGTTTGTAGATGTGTATAGATCTTTGCATTTTGCTTGCATGCCTATGCGGTCTCCCACAAACAGCGGCTCGAGCCAAGTATTTCAATATTGCCGAACAAATGAGACGTTGGAGAGGCATACATCAAGGACCAGTGTTCATCCAGAAAACAATAGCGAGGGCCTCCAACCTAGTAGTAGTGATGGCATCCAACCTGCCTCCAAGCTACTTGAGGAGACGGGGGTGAGGTGGCATGTCTGCGGCTGCTGCTGCTGCTGGTTGCTGCTGCTGCTTGCTGCTGCTGGTTGCTGCTGCTGGTGCTGCTGCTGCTTGCTGCTGCTGGTTGCTGCTGCTGCTGCTGCTGCTGCTGCTTGCTGCTGCTGGTTGCTGGTTGCTGCTGGTTGCTGCTGGTTGCTGCTGGTTGCTGCTGCTGCTGGTTGCTGCTGCTCCTGGTTGCTGCTCCTGCTGGTTGCTGCTGTTGCTTGAATCCTGAAGACTGCTGCTGCTGCTGCTGCTGCTTTGCTGTCCCCCCCCTCTTTCAATTTCGTCTGCGCAACCCCCCAAAAACTGAAAGAAAACGAAGGGTTGTGGAGGCCAAACTTGTGTGAGCTTTGGTGCTTTGCTGCTGCTGCTGCTGCTGCTGTTGCTGTCGTTGCTGCTGCCACTGGTGCCACTGCTGCTGCTTTCTGCTTTGCTGTGCTGCTACTGCGCTGCTGCTGCTGCATTGCTGGTTTGCTGCTGCTGCTGGCTGCTTGTTTCTGCTCAGATCAATAGGGCCCCCCCCCGACATTTAAAACCAACTCTTAAACCACCAAAATCAAGCACGAGAGCCTCTCACCACCCCCAATACATTGCTAAAGCAAAGACAACTCAGGTAGCGTAACCGCTACCTTTCGTGAACAGCGATGGTTTCCAACCTAATGGCGATCCAGAAAACAATGGAAAGCATCCTCCCTGGATCTCCCAGGATGTTCAATTGATGGAGAAGGCGGTCGATCGATCTTTCTTGCATTTTTTGCGAAGGCTTGCTCTGCAAGTCTGTCGGGCTAGTCCTTGTTTGGACATCTTTCTTGGTGCGATCTGCGGTCAGGAAACGCCATGCATACTGGCTTTGTACCAGCTGCACAAGTTGTACAGGAGACAGTTCGGAACACCTACAGGCCTACGGTGACCAAGCACAGATGACCAAACGTTTAGACTCTAAAGCTGTTGGACAGGTAGGTTCACTTCCACAACAAAGTTAAGTCTTAAACCTAAGTTTGTTTGCAAAGCTGGCAGTGTCATTGCTGGTCGCCTGTGTCAAGTGAGAATGGATTACAGGCCCCAGGCAACCCGTGCACCAAAGTATGCAGGCTTTGCATGCAAAACTTTAGCGGCCAGGTTCCAGGGCCTTTGAATTCTGTCAATTGAAGTGTTCAAAGGTTCAACTTCTTCAATTCAGAATGCACAATGCCTGCCATAACGTGACAATCATTGCTCATTGGACAATTCTTTGCCACCTCACAAGCCTTCTTGGCTTTAAATGTAACCCTACTGAGCCCTACTGCAGATCCCTGCGCTTGAAGCGCAGGGTTAAATGAATGTCAGCGTTCTTGGCGACCGCTAAATGCATGCTTCTCTTTCTTACCTTGCATCGGACAATCACTGGCATGGCTCACAATGCCTTTTGTCTGTCAGCTCCATGGCATGCAACACAAGCACAGGATTGATACAGAGTTCCATCTGATCCTAGCTACCAACATCAGTACTTTGCGAAAATCTTAGGACGCGCATTGGTAGCATTCGGGTTGCTTCAAAAATCCATGTTCAGGATCTCTGCATGTCTTAAGGCTACGCGGCACCCTTTTCAATCAGGGTGCAAGCGCAGGGTCTCCACCGGAGCCTTCTCGCCCACAGCCTTTGAAGGATCAACCTGGGCGGTCGCATCCATCCATGACAAGCAGCTTCTTATAGGTCTGAACCAACCAGAAAAGCTTGAAGGTGCTGATCTGCCAAAGGGCTTGCTCTGCGTGTGTCGTCACCGAAGTGGTACTGGTGGGCTGCTTGGGGACCGTGACGTGACTGATGGCGACGGGATTGGCGGTGACGGGTTCCTGTGCCCAAGCAGAAACGCTCCGCAGAGGTCTGGCATCTAATTGTTAAGTTTCACACTGCTCAGTGAAAGAGGTTTCCTGAAGATTTTGCCAGGAGCGATTGGTTGTGAGAGTTGAAGAGGTTCCAGATGACCTTGGGAGAATGCATGCAGAAATCACAAGGTAAACAAGCATGTGGACAAAGGCGAATTCATTCTTCACTCTTTTCTTGATGACCCTTCTTTCATCCAACCCTTGGGCTGCCACCCCATGTGGTTCATGCGTGGACGGTTGAATCTCACTGATACAGGCCCCGGCGCCGTGCCCCATCCTGCACATGGCACCGCGCTAAAAATAATCCCGATGCCATTTGTAAAATTTGTTCTGCATCGATGATTGCATAGTTTCAACATCCTCCGCATACAACTTGAGAGGGGGGGCCCGGGATGAAAACTATACCCAGGAATGGGAAAGGTTAGGAAGGAGTAGTATCACCTTGCTACTACATGAACCGTCAAAGGGCCAACGAAGCAGGTCGAATGAGAATATACTTGGCTCAAAGAAATCAAGGAATTCGTTGATGGCTTGGAGAACCGAACCTCGCCAAGTTCAAAAAAGAAACCAGTCAAAACACCAATAGTAACACCAATCTCACATTCAACATGGGCGAACTGGCCCAAGGGTCCAATTGCCCGATTTGTGGCAGGACAGTCTGCTTCAACGCGCGCTCAACTTGCAAAGAATTTCAATGCCACAGTAAAAAGGAACATGCATACATAGAGGGCGCTCAAAAATATACTGTAACTCTCTGTGCAAGTCAATGACAAATACGCACCGCTGGCTAAGTCTGCTAAGCAGGCTCACGCAAATGACAACGCAAGCTTCTGCAGGATGGCTTCACATGACACGCAAAAGTGCACGAACGCACGCTTCTATTCTCCAAAAGCAGTACGAGCCTTCAAAAAAAGGGACAGTACGACTTGCGCACATTGAGCGCTCGCACGGGCGTCCCAAATCTGGATGTTGCAAGCCCTCCCTACAACCCAATTCGTGCAGCGATTGATGTCGGCCCCGGCCGCCCCCAGAGCCCTGGATGCTAAGCATGCTTAGTTAAAAGACAACTTAAACATTCCCCTGTCGCTTGACATCCGGCCCCCACTTTAATACGTCCAACCATGCAGGCAGCAAGTGTTGTGGTTTCGGGCTCTTGCCTGGCAAGCATGCTACAAGCATTTGTTACAAGTGGCTTCAGGTTCGCATTGTTACCCGTATCATCGTTGGGGCCACCTGGTATTCAGGACAAGTATAACTATAAGTTATAAATAACAACATGTCTGGATCTTCCTCCTCCTCCTCCTCCTCCTCCAAATCACATACTTATCATGTTGCTCCAAAATGAATTGGGCAAGTCTTCGGCAAATGACTAAACTCTTGAGCACGGGGCTTTCATACGGTATGGTGGTACATTAGCAGAACTATCATAAAATATCATAAATCATATACTGTTCAGGTTTGAGTTGCAATTGCAAAAGGTACACTGCCTCAAATGGTTGAAAAAATATTGAAAAATATCTCAAGACACGACGCTCCAGCCTGGTCTGCTTGGAGCATTCATCTGCCAATATGAACCGCCTGGAATGGGAGAGACAGACCTTGTCTCTGTCCTTCCTGCATAGGCAGGCACCATACAGCAACTGGAGTTCGGCGAAGGAGAACGGGTCGCCTGAGTATCACAAACGCAGTCAGAAAGGATCACCGTTCACCATTCTGTCGACCGTCTCTAGTGGCTTGCGTGACGCTTGCGTGACCACACCTCACTCAATTCATACTCATGTCGACCAGTTGCTGGTCGAGGAAGTTGGCCAGTTGAAGCATGAATCACAAGTCGCTGCCGCTGCAAAGGTTGAGCGCCAACAGCGCCAGCAATCTTTGGAGCGCCAGGGGTTGCCACTAACAGGGGGCTGCCCAAGGGTGGTGTAGCTGCACGATGATCAAAGGGAGGCGGAGTTGTCCGCACCACAGGCTCAGTGCTGAAGCCAGAAGGTGGGCTCGTGACGCGAGCCAAAGGCACTGGCTGAATAGGCATGGAGGGCACTGGAGACTCGTCTCGAACACGAACTGGGCTTCGAGAAGCAGCACGGGCACTCCCATCGCTGTTGAGCATGCAAATCAAATCCTTAGTGAAAAAGGACCCTGTATGATGTATATATATATACAGTAATATACATGTAACTACTATCTTAGTTTTCCGGCCTTATAAACTTCATATTCTTAGGCCTCTGGATGCTTCTGGTGTTTGGACTGAGGTCTCCACATCCCGCAGGTGGTGGATTTGAGAAGTGATGCCAGATGCCAAAGAGGTGAGCGAAGCGGAGTCACCTTGACCTATCTTGTCCCCAGCCTCCTTAAGGCAGCCCCTGAATTCTGAGCGAATCGTCTCCATCATGCTTGATTGCAAATCCTCCAGCCTCAGAAACTCGTCGCGAAACAACATGCACACGTCACCGAGCACCTTGAAGAAAACCAAATAAACAAGTATGTACACACATGGAGATATGTCCACAATTGCAGCTTTGGAGCAAGTCTGTGGCGCGCTTGGGAATCTCTTGTCCTTGAGCTCGTGGATGTGCCAACAAGAGGCGTCGAAGTTCCGCCATTTCTTCTGCAAAGGCACGCAGGCTGCCCGAGCCTGAACAAGCAGAAACACGACTCTTATGCGGCATCGTAGCACATCAAAACCCCCACAAGGTTCTATATTTTATAGCCTTCCTGGCCACATGCCTATTCCGTGACATCGTTACCGTTACACCACACAGTGTCAGGGCTGGGATGAGCTCTGTGCCGCCGGGTCACTGAGACGAACCGCGCTGTGCTGACGTGTGATCTGATCGCCATCCCTGAGTCACGATGGCGAAACCAAGGAATCGTTTGGCCCTTCAAATCTCTCGGAGTGCATGCAAGTGATTGAGGAGTTCTTGGCGTTGGGGCGTGCGGTTGGAAAAGGCCAAACGCTACTTATACAATCTTATATACACTGTCCAACATGTGTCCAACATCCTCTCGTCAGCCTTCCCTCCAAGGGTGATGAGCTCATGCTTGAACCGGACTCCATGCCTGGCAAAGAGTGGGTTACGTAGACTCACAAAGCTACGCGCAGCAAAGACATGTGGCCAAAAAAAAACCGAGTGTAGGGCAGAACATTTGACGAGAACTTCCAGCATCTGAAGCACCTTTGCCTTCTGCAACCTTGGTTGCTTGCAGGCACACTTCGGAACGACTACATGCACCAGTGTGCCAGTGGGTAGATGAGGTCAAGCAAGTGCCGGGCCTTTGCTTCCAACTGCTTGCTGTCACGAAGTTGCTGCCTCAACTTCAAGCTTCCTCCTTGCGAGCTGTCGCTGAGAGATGACCTGCAAGAGCTTTCGGCATCATGCAGCATGCTCACTTTGAGGTGCTGAGGTCCGTGCTTTTTGCTCAGAAGTACTGGAAGATCCCGACCAGATATTTCCCGAACCTAGCCCACACAGTTTGCAATGCTTGCTGTCTCTTTCAGCTGAGAACAGGTGCTTCCCATGCATTCTCAAAGACGAAGCGACGACGGCGTCTGCTTGGCCTTCTGTTGAGACGAGCCCCTGGAGATGCGACGGCGAACACCTGGACTGGAGGGGCCTGGCCGACCGGGACGAAGCGCGGAGAGGGACTGCGGAGGGTGCGTCGCCTCCTGGTGCTTTGGCTGAAGAGCTCTCGGAAGCAGACTCTGTGCCACTCAACTTGTTCATGCATGCCTCCAGCACAATGGCTCATGACTCATGCGTGCTCATGCCCATTGTGCCGCTGGACTTCCAAATTGACTTGCAGATGTACACCAGGGAAGATTAACATGGAACCTGAAAATGGACCTTTGGAAGACTACTTTCCTCTACAACCTAGCGGTTTTCAGGTTCTGTTGTATAATCTTCCCGGGTGCGGTGTATGTATATAAATTAAACATGCATATTACATCTATTAAGCCATATATAAAGATTATACAGCAGAATACAGCATATACAGTATCAATTCAACGCACTTCTTATGTGCTGTGTACTGACGACTGTCGAGGTGCACATCAATATCATCAATGTCGAGAAGCAGGTCAGTGATGCGATATGGAGAGTTGCAGGTCGAGGATGAGACATATCCAAGGTTGTTGGATGTCAAATATATATATATATATATATTGATTGGAAGCTAGTGCCAAATCCCCACATCAGGAGTGGGAATTGACATTGGACAAATGCCAAAACTGAGAGGAACTGCATTCCCCTGAAGAATGTCTTTTGCCCGAGGGCCCCCTTGGCACCAAAAGGGGGGCCCCCCTAATATACATTTACGGCAGCTGAAAACATGGCCATCACTGACCTCAAGCTCGGAAAATATACCTTAATTCGATCGAGGGCCCCCGAATTCGATTAATTGCATTAAGCTGTTGGAAGCTGACACACCGCACACAGGCTTTTTTTGCTCTCAATGTGCTGCAGTCCCTGCATGCGCTGCATAGACATGGACATGTGTTTTTGATTTCACTACTAACTACGACTAACTACTACCTACTACCTACTACCTACAACCTACTACCTACTACCTACTACCCACTACCCACTACCCACTACCCACTACC